TTCTGAGATTGAAGACAGAATTCTGAGATTGAAGTCAGAATTCTGAGATTGAAGACAGAATTCTGAGATTGAAGACAAAATTCTGAGATTGAAGTCAGAATTCTGAGATTGAAGACAGAATTCTGAGGAAAGAAAAAGAGTCAGAATCCTGAGATTAAAGTCAGAATTCTGAGGAAAGAAAAAGAGACAGAATTCTGAGAATATTAAAATGTCTCTATTGAACTGAAATAAAATTTGTATATCAGTTAACTTTTCTTATTTTTTCAGTGGTCCTAATTCTCTTCCATAATAAACAGAATCAAATTAAATTTAAATATCAAATTATTTAATAACGTTTTTTATTGGGTTATTTGTTACTGGTATATTTGACCAGTCCAGTTTAAAGGGCTGGGATTGTTTATTTAGTCTTAAATGGAGCAAACTGTGGAACACCTTCTCACCTCCAGGTAGGGCACGAGCCGACAGGACAGGTCTCCTAGTAACCTCTTGAGGGTGAGCTCGTGGAAGATGACCACTGGCAGGCAGAAGAAGAGCACGAGGAAATCCCAGAAGGCCAGTCCGGCCAGGATGCAGTTCCACGCGCTCTTCAGGTAGAAGCTGTGCCACACGATGCACATGAGCGCGAGGTTCCCCACGAGACCCGCAGCGAACAGCACGAGCGCGAGAAGCAGCACCGCGTACGCCCAGTAGGAGGCGTCGGTGACCGGCATCAGAGGGTTCAGGAGCCCCGAGGAGGAGCTGGTGTGGCGGTGGGTGCGCGGCGTGGTAAAGAAGCCGCTCGGGTCGTCATGTCTGCGGGGAGGAACATCCAGAGAAACTGGGTCTCTTCTTCTAAAACTTCCATCTTTGGCTCCTCTGGTGAACCGCTTCAGGCTGAAAGTCTCAGTCCGGTTCAGAGGAGGGGAGGTTTGTGCCCCGGCAGGCAGACCTGCTGCATCCTTTGCCTGGATGTCCGGAGCTTGGAGGACCTGACGGAGCTCCGCGCTCCGCAGAGAGAGCAGAAACAGACAGCAGAGGAGCTTCATGGAGCCGCTGCTCTCCTTCACAGACATCTGCTGAGAATAAAGACAGGACAGTCCATGAAGCGGGCAGACCTCCCTCTGCTCCTCATGCAGAACTTTCACAGACCAACCAAGTTCAGCACCAAAGTTTACTAAAACTTTGCACAGGGCATCCGGAGCCACATTTCAAAATAAAGGCACCGATTTAAACCAATTTTAGAAAAAAAAAACCCGGATGTAAATGACACTAAAATAAGAAAAAAGAAATAGACCCTATCACAAGTGTGTGAATATGCCCTGATTCAAAATGACAACACGTTTAATGTAACTTTATTAGTTATTTAAGACGTCAATTTCAATTCAGTTTGTTTCTATAGTGCCAATTCACAACACACATCATCTCAAGGCACTTTACAGTTCAACCAGATCATCCAAT